AACTAATAAGCTACAAAACCTAAAGTTCAGCTTTATAACTTTTGTTAGAAGCCTATGAGTGATTTACTTAATAAGAAAAAAGTTTTAGATAGAATTACTTTATATTTAACTTTATTGTAAAATTTATTTATAAAATTTGCAGATCTTCTTCAGATAACAGATAAATTGTCTATTAAAAGAAAATTTTGTATTTTTAGTTTTTTATTGCAAGTTTCTGTATTTCCAAAGAAATATACTTTCTTTTCTTTGGTACAAGGGCTATTGTCTTTGTTAAACCTTTCTGTTTGATACTCTTTTCATTATAAATATATATAGAAAGTATTAGTATTAGACAAAGTATTGGCTAAAGTTGACTTTCCACTACCAGTCATGCCAATTATTAGGATATTTCTAATGTCATTTTCTTTGACTGAAATTACTTGAAGTCCTCTTACCAATTTAGTTTTCTCAGTATTAAAAACTAGATTAGATCTTATCACCTCTTTATTCTTAATAAGTTCTTTCAGACAATTACTTATAACTACCTCTTTTAAATTAAGACAATCATTTAAGTTCAAACTAACTATTTGTTGAGAAAAAATTATTAAAGTCCATAAATTAGTAAATTCTTCCATTTTCAAAGCACCTACTAAAACTTTATCTCTATCTCTGCTTCAGAAATGTTTACTAAGATTCCCTTTACTAAGATCTAGTTTTGTTAATAGAGTTGCTTTTGCAAAATAAAAAATTAACAAGTTATTTGGTCAAACAAGCCAAAAAAATGTTGGCTGAAAAGAGTTCTAACTTTGAACCAATAAAAACTGTAAATTTTTATTAAACTAAAGGCCATCACTTCCAAGTTTGTGTCAATTCTATTATTACAATTTTATAATATTTATATATATATATTTTTTTAATATTAAAGTAACCACTTTGGGGTCTGGTATGTTTTATTAACTTTGATTGCAAATGTTAGAACAACTATATAGACTACCCTAACTTTATTACATTAACAAGAATACATACTAGCTATACTTATGCCTTTTAAGCACCTAATTTAAGTAGTCTGCCTATTATTAGATTTTATACTACCATATCTATAACTTACTATTATTTGGATTATCTAATTAAATCTTCTAATCAACTTAGCACCATCAGATATTCTCCTAAAAAGGAACT